TTGGTATTTTGGGCAAAACTGAAAGAGAAAGATTCCCACTCTAACATCCTTTACAACTCTATTCAGAAAACCATGTGGCTTCGCTTTCCCTTTTCAGTCAAGAGTGAGACAGTTGGAACTCAACCTCAAGTCTTACAAAACCCACAGTATGTGTTCAGCTTATGTGACTGGCATTCTCCAGACAGGGCCAGCATCATGAGCATGTGATCTGTGTATTTGCAAAAGACCCGCACTCAGAAGGGCCCCAGACTTGAGGATGCTCTGCTGTCCTGTCCTGAAATTCCAATGAGGTGGCTCTCATTTGCATTTTGCATGAGGCCTCATACATCATGTTGCTGATCCCAGTGCCTGGGGCACAACCGTGGGCAACCTCCTGCCCTCGGGGAGCTTAGGATCTTGTGCAGATGGGTGAATTGTCCATTTTAATTCAGTGTAGCAAATGCTTTAGCTTCAAAGATTTAAACACTCAGGTGGAGTATTTGACCCACAGGATTAGTGAGGGTTAGCCAGCGCTGTGGGTGTGGGGCTGTGGGATGTACATGGAGCAGGAGGAGTGGGAAGGAAGGGTTTGCTAGCTAGAAAGTGGAAATTGCAAAGCCCCAGAGGTAAGGCAGAGCAGGGAATAGTCAGGAAACTACAAACAGCTCAGTCAGGCTGGAGTTGAGGGTTGTCCCTGGAGAAGTGACAGGGAATGGGGAGGAGAGTGGGTAAAGCTAGGAAGAGCCTTGTGTTAGTCAGCTCGGGCTGCCGTGACCAAGTACCACAGACTTGTGGCTTGAACAACATTGATTCTCTCACAGTTCTGGAGGCTTGAAGTCCGAGATCAAGGTGTTGGCAGGGCTGGTTTCTCCTGAGGCCTTGCTCCTGGGCTTGCAGACGGCTGCCTTCTGTGTGTTCACGGGGCCTTTCCTCTGTGCAAGTGTGCCCCTGTGTCTCTTCCTCTACTTATAAGAACACCAGTCCTATCAAATTAGGGCCTCACCCTTATGACCTCCTTTAACCTTAATTAAGTCCTTAAAGGCCCTGTCTCCAAGTGCAGCCACACTCCGAGGCACTAGGGGTGAGGACTTCAACATAGGAATTTTGGGGGAACGCTGCTCAGTTCCTAACACACCATGTTTGCTCTATGAAGGAGTTTAATCTTTATCCTAAAAACAATGGGAAACTGCCAAAGGTGATCTCAAGACTCAGGTCCTCTTCTCCTGGGCATTCAGCCAGACCATATGTTCTGGGCTCCTTGCAACCAGGTGTGGACATGAGACTGAGTTCTCACAGCAAGGAGCAGGTGGAAGTGGTGTGTGCCGTTCCAAGCACTGCCCTCCAAGCTCTTTGTGCTTCTGCAGTCCTTAGAAGGTGGCTGTGAATGTTCAAGAATCCTGGGTCTTTGAATCACCACTTGGAACAACCATTTCTGTCTTTATAGAGGGCAAGAAATAGGTTTCTATTGTGTTAAGCTACTGAGACTGTGGGTTTCTGTTGTAGCAGCTAGCATTACCCAGATTTACTTTCAGGAAAGATCTCCCTGCCAGTAGTGTGGAGAATGAGTTGGAGGCATCAAGGAAAGGAAGACACATGAGGATGCTGTTGCAGGAATCAGATGAGCAATAACGGTGGTCTGCACACTTTGCATGGCCGAGTGACAGAGGAAGAAGGGATCCTGCTGTCTGGCGTGAGTGACTGGGTGGATTCTCTCGCCTTCCGGTTCACTCCAATGGGTATCTAAGAAGAAGTATGAGACACTGGCCTGGGTGCCAAGTATGCAGTGTTGATGAAGCAAAGCCCATTGCTGCTGTCATGGATCTGACAGTCCTGGAGCTGAAAATGAAAGGAGGAGGATTAGGAAGGTGGGAGATGATCTTTGCATAAATTGAGATAGACGTACTTGTTGGGTACCTAAATGGAAGGATGAAGGGGGCACCTGGAGATGTGGATCTTGAGCTCAAGAGAGAGAGATCTGAGCTAAATATCCAGATCTGAAATGCATCAGCTCTAGGGTGGCAGTCAGCCCATTGATGTGGACCACATCAGCCTGGGAGAGAGAGGCTGCAAGAGGGCTCAGGCCAGCCCTGGGAGCAATGGGCAGAGGACAGTGCCAGACAATGAGACTAAGCAGGAGATGCCAGGAAGGTACAAGGAAGATCAAGACTTAAGGCAAAAAGTCTGTCGAGGAAGAAGTCACCAATGGTGTCAAATATTGCCCAGAAATCAGATGTCTGTTGAATTTAGGAATAAGGAGGGTGCTGGTGATCATTTAGTGCAATGGTGGAAATAAACCTTCTTTTCTTTCAGAAAAGAACAAAGAATGGAAATAAATCTTATTCAAGAAAAGAGAAAGGTAAACGTCTGTCATTCTCCTTAAAAACTATGATAAAAACCAGGAATAAAAGGATAATTTAAAAATTGTTTATGTAGATTTTATTTCCATTTCAATGCCGTGTCACTCAGTATTGCACAGAAGGTTGTATCCTAGAGTTCTTCTTTCTTTAGATTATGTGCAGATTACAGGATTAGATTTTCCTAGTTAAAATTTTAGCTAATATGAAAACATACAGAGAGAAAAATAGAAGTTTTCCTCCTATCCCCCCCATCCCGGAGATAACCTCTGTTGGCTATGGCCTCTCTTTAAAAGGTGGAGCCTTTGAAACCTTTCCCATGGACTCACAAGCATGCATTTCCGCATACACACACAGGGTTCAGTTCATACGAATGACGGCACACTACACACAGTATTACAAATTACATTTTTCACTTGATTTGTTTTCATGATCTTTCTCAGCAACTGCGTGTGGACCTATCATAATTTAAAAAAATTTTCTGCATAGGATTCCATCATATAAATGAATTAAATTCTTCTCCTATTGAGGAAAAAATAAAACTTGGATTATTTCCACTTCATTCATTGTTTTTGTTCCCTCTCTCCCTCCTTTTCTTTCATTCTTTCTTCCTTTTTCTTTCCTCTTTTGGTATTAAAAAACGTTAACTGTATACTTACAAATAGTTAAGATGATAAATTTTGTTATGTGTGTTTTTTTACCACAATTAAAAATAATGATTAAAAGACCCTGTAGATCTGATTTTTTTTTAAATAATAATGCTGAAGAGAAAAACCTAGAATATGTCTGAGCACATATGCAAATATTTCTGTAGAACAGACACCTAAAAGTGAGAATGCTGGTCTACAGAGAATACTCATTTAAAATTGAAAGACTGTATTAAATTCCCTCCAATAACCGTTAATTCCCACTCGCATACACGGTGTAGAGGAGTACCCATTTCTCATACTCTCACCAGTACCGGATATCATCCACCTCTCAATGATAACCAAGACCAGCACAGGATTTCTGTGGCGATTGCACATCGTCTCAGAATTCCTGGATAATGCGAAAAAAGACACAGACAAAACAAAACAAAACAAATAACATATTAAAAAGAGAAACAAGTGGTGTAACAGACTGACGTGCTCCTTCTTAAGATCACTTGCCAATTTTATAATCATATAACAAAAATCCAAGAGAATGTATTGAAAACTCTTGAATTACTAAGAGTTCACCCTGGGGCCGGCCCATGGCCGAGTGGTTAAGTTGGCGCGCTCTGCTTCAGCGGCCCAGGGTTTTGCCAGTTTGGATCCTTGGTGCCAACCTAGCACAGCTCATCAGGCCATGCTGAGGTGGCGTCCCACATGCCACAACTAGAAGGACCTGCAACTAGAATATACATCTATGTACTGGTGGGGGGGGGGGGGGCTTTGGGGAGAAGAAGAAAAAAAAAGAAGACTGGCAACAGATGTTAGCTCAGGTGCCAATCTTTCAAAAAAAAAAAAAGAGTTCACCAAATTGGCCATAGGAATGATAAATATTGTGACATAATGAGAAATGTATATTTAATCTCTGCCCCCAGTTCCTGACACAGGCCTCCTAAAAGCCTTGTAATTTCCTGAGTGATAGAAGCATCTTTTGTTCTAATATGGAGTCTTTGACTCCAGTTCCTGACTCAGAGCTCCTAAATCCTTTGTAATTTCCTGAGTGATCAGAGCATCTTTTATTCTAATGAAGCCATTCTTGGTGGGCCTCTGGATAGGTTCAGGAAGGAGGCAGGTTCCCAACCATGATTAGGCCGAACCACAATTAGAAGCTTGGAACTTTCAGTCCTAACCCCCATCCTCCAGGGAAGGGAGAGGGCTGGAAGTTGAGTTAATAATTGATCATACCTACACGATGATGCCTCCATAGAAACTCCTAAACAGCAGGGTTTGGAGAGCTTCCAGGTCGTGAGCACATCGAGGCCCCGGACAGTGGCGCACCAGAAAGGGCGTGGAAGCTCCACACCCCTTCCCCCATACCTTGCCCTATGTGTCTCTTTTATGGGGCTCTTCCTGTGTGTATCCTTTATAATGAACCAGTAATAGGAAGAAAAGCACTTTCCTGAGTTCTGTGAGACATTCCAGCAAACTATTGAACCTGCGGACGGGGTTGGGGGAACTCTCATTTATAGCCCATCAGTCAGAAGTACAGGTGAGAACCTAGGATTTGCAATTAGTGTCTGAAGTGGGGGCTCTTGGAACTGAACACTTAACTTGTGGGGTCTGAGCTAACTCCTGGCAGTTAGCGTCAGAACTGAGTTAAACTGTGACATCCAGTGTCCCTGAGAATTAGAGAACTGCTTGCTGTGGAAAAACCCACACAACTGATGTCAAAAGTGTTGTTTAGTAGTAATAGGGAGAAACAGTTTCTCTGTAGCATGTATAAACTTCAGTTGTTTACTTATATGCCATCCATAACCAGGTGAGGAAAAATGCTCTTTTACTATCATTATAATGACAATAAAACTCAGAAATAATCATAACAAGAAAAGTAAAAGCTGTGTGGGACTTATATAAAAAATTTAAATCTAGACAGATATAAAGAAGGATTTGAATAAATGGAGATTCCTCTCATTTTCCTGAATAAGAATAAACATTATAAGTAAATTAACTCACCCAAATAATTGTCAACTTAAAAGGCAAATTTTCCTGTTATTTTATCTCAAACTGAGTTTATTCAGGAGTAACCAAAAGGATTGCCAATTCAGGATGTGCATGCTATGGAGAAACACAGGCAAATCTGGAGAACAAAGGGGAGCTGCCTTTATAGAGAAAAAGGGGGAGTGGGAGGGGCTGTTCTAAAGGAAAGTCCATTGGAGGAAAGTAACAGTTCAGGGCAGCAAGGGCTTCTCATTGGCTGAGCTGTGGCATTTCTCATTGGCCGAGCTGTGGTGTTTCTCATTGGCTGAGCTGTGGCATTTCTCATTGGCTGAGCTGTGGCATTTCTCATTGGCCGAGCTGTGGTGTTTCTCATTGGCTGAGCTGTGGCATTTCTCATTGGCCGAGCTGTGGTGTTTCTCATTGGCTGAGCTGTTGTTGGGTGGAGAGAGAAATCTTCCTTTAGTAGTGAAGTAGTTTTACTTCCCAGCCAACGTGCAAGTGTCATCTCTTCCTGTTTGGTGTAATTGAGGATGTGTGATAGGGCAAGAGAGCTCCCCCTATAGGCCTTCTTGACTCCAATTTAGTTGAGGTTTCTTTTATTAATTTCCACAGCTCCAAATTCGCCTTTCACTGACACACTCTGTAAAACTAAAGCTGGACTCTGTAAACATTATTACTTTGCCAGCCGGCACAATGTTGGGCTTCGTCAGTCCCTCGAATGGAGGGCACTGGAGACTTTGAGGAGACAGCAGTAGACAGGCACTTCCCTTTCAGGTTCTGGTCTTCCTAGGACTACACAGCAACCCACACCAGCCGGCTTTAGCTGGATTCTTGTGCTTTCCCCATGCAATGGCTATTTCTGCAGTTACAATGGCTGCAACCTCAAGCAACTGTATCCCTACCTAGCATTTTTTATCTACAGACCAGCTCCAGCCTGCCCTCAGCCACCAGCAAAGGCAGACAGCTTTCGTGGGCCAGCTCCAATCTAGGAGATATTTTTCTACCTCCAGGTGATATTGCTGGGATTTATTTGTACAAAGCTCTATTTAATTGGCTTGAAATTAAGAACTTATATATTAAGTATTCCTAACTCTCAGAAATATAACAGAAACTAACTCAAATGCTTTGTAGGTCCATGTTATCTAGGATTAATCCTTAGTAAGTAAATGACAGCTTAAGGTTGTTGGTGTAAATTAAAAACATACATGTATATATAGATACGTAAGAAACAGATACGCACAGACAGAGATATCTAATCATTTTTTTAAAAGTTCCTGAGGGGCCGGCCTGGTGGCGCAGCAGTTAAGTGCGCACATTCCGCTTCAGCAGCCCAGGGTTCACCAGTTCAGATCCTGGGTGCAGACATGGCACTGCTTGGCAAGCCATGCTGTGGTAGGCGTCCCACATATAAAGTAGAGGAAAATGGGCACGGTGTTAGCTCAGGGTGAGGCTTCCTCAGCAAAAAGAGGAGGATTGGCAGCAGTTAGCTCAGGGCTGATCTTCCTCAAAAAAAAAAAAAGTTCCTGAGCTCATTTATGATCAATTACTAATCAACGCACTATCAGTGGCATGCAGACATGTGAAATGTAGTCCCAAACTCTGATGAACTTAAGGCCTAGTTGGAGAACACAGATGATTAATAAATAAAGCAAGTGCCATAAGAGAAATGCCCTCCCTCAGTGTGGGATGAGAGGTCAAAGATGTATGTCTGGTTATGTGGGAAAGGAAAACTTTCTCAGAGAAGGTGACATTGGAAATGAGCTTTAAGGAATTTTTACTGTTCGAGTTGGAAGTGGAGAGACACAATCACATGAAGAAAGGTGTGACCCTACAGAAGGACCACATGGTAAGTTGAAGGACAGTCCCTAGCCCAACATGGTTGTCATCCTATGGGATTTGGACTACATCTTAAAGACAATCTGAAATCATTAAGTCTACTGTCCCAGGATCCCGATTGAGTAGTGCAAATGAGCGGTCAGTATGGTGAGAGCTGAGTGTGGAGAAGCCTGAATTGCACTGGCAAATCACTCAGACGGTCAGGAATCTGCCCTCACCTTTGCACGTGGCTTTCCAGGCCCACCCTCATGGAGCTGTAGAGTGAGATTTGGGGACACAGAAAGAGGGAAGTACTCACATGCACAGTAAGCACACCCCCTACGGAGAGGAAAACCTGCCACAGAACAGAATGCTGTTGGTTTTGTTGTGTCTAATGAAGAAAAGGAAGGGATGGTCAGCACAGAACCGTGGTCCAAATTCCACGCAACATTCCACAACCAGTATGGCAGAAGCAGCTGCGGCCTCCGTGCCTTCCTCATTCACTTCCACAAAACTCTTGTGCACAAACTTGGACAGACACAGGTCTCTCTCGGCTGACATTGCCGAAAAGTCGGCCTTGCCCTGTTCAAAGGCATCAAGCATTCCCAAACGCTGAAGCACAGATTCCATGTCATACTCCTCCTCCAGTGTGAATCTCGGAAGGAGAACTTCAACTTCAGTGCTCTTCATACAGTCTGGCTTGGTCCAGGCCGTGAATTTCTCAAAAGTGAGATTTTTTTCCACCTGAAAGATTGGAATTAGACGTTAAGATGCATACTTCAGCACATACCTACGTGTACCCCTTCTCCTCTCGGAGATGGGAGTAGACTGTCACACAGGACCAGTGGCACCTTTACCTGCCAGGAAATTTGTGAGATCTTCTACCTGTGCTATTACATACACAGCTTCCTTGCCAAGCAGGGGAAGCCTCAAGCAGCCTGGAAGCACGAACACTGTGTCTGTTCCTCTCCTCACCCAACGACTACTAGGAGCTGTCTTTTATTCTGACAATTGTCAATGCCCAGGTGACTGTGCTGCTTTCAAAGACAAGACAGTGCTGGTAGGAAAAAAGATTGGAAGAGAAAGGGTCTCAGTGTAGCCCACACAAAGGGGAAGTCTGCCCAGAGGTGGGATCCCGCGTGCTTCCTGGAGAAGAGACGTCACAGGGAGCTGGACAGAGGGAGAGCCAGTGGCTGCAGCTCTGCTCACACTGGCCCCTCGGGCCTCGGGGGCACTGCCTGCCCCCCATGCCCAGGCTTAGAATCTACAGGGCGATGGTTGACTGTCACCCTAGGGAGCCATGCTGAAAGAAAGCAAGGCGGGCCAGGTGAGCCATTTGGGGCCGTGTCTGGCTCTGCCCCTGAATGCTGGCTCCTGTCCTCCTCTCCTCCCTCTTGTTAGGTCACAGTGTAAGCTTTTCTCATTCACTGCTCTGGGTTCTAAATAGGGACAAGGGTTCCTAGTTTTTAAAATTTAATGCTAATAACAATGATTATAATAATGGAGCACATTTATACAGGGCTTATTATGTACCAGACAACGTACTAAACTTGATACCTGAATTACGCCCATTTTATCCTCATAATAACCCTATCAGGCAGATGTTATTATTATCCCCATTTTAGAGGTGAGAAAACAGAGGCTGAGATGAGTTAAGTAATTTGGCTAAGTCATGGAGATAATAACGGGAGAAGTAAGTCTTGAGTAACAATTTGATTCCAAAGCCCGTGTCTGAATACTGGGGTCTGCTGCCCAGCTGCCCGCACCACCAACCAACTGGAAAGGTCAACACAAAAGGTGAAAGCGGCGCTCGAGTTTTAGCCTATAAGGAAGGACATGAAGAGTGTCTGTGCGTCCATCTCACCGAGTCTAGCCCCACGTCTTCGTCAGGGAGCAGAATGATCATGCTCAGCTCCTCGCCCACATAGGGCAGCTCCAGGACCTGGGCCTGCACCTCTTTGATGTAGGCAAGTTTAAACGTGGCTTCCTGAAACATCATCTGCACTGGCTTTTGCTCCTTCTGATGAGAATAAACAGATGGGCATGGAGTTAAAAACAGAGTATTGAGAGGGGGCAACAGCTGCAGTGGCCTCCAGGAGTGTTTTCAGCACCCATGATGGAAACAATATTCGTGCTCTAACGGCGCTAGCCTGGGAAAGAAGACGCTTTTATTCTGCAAAATAAACATGATCCCCTGCATTTTCCACAGGCGGAAGTCAGATTATCCTCATTGAAAGTATGCCCGGCACATATATCTAAGGAAACAATATAATCAATGATGTTAAATAGGAAATTATTTGTATTTAATGAGAAAAAGTTCTATAATAAAGTGGGAGGACACAGTTCCACAGCACTGTGACCGGGAGCACGGAGGGACACGCCCTCTCAGGAAGCACCGGCAGCCAGCGTGAAGACCCACAGGTATTTAAATACAATTGTCCCAACGCTGGTACTCTTAGCCGAGGCAATAATTTTTTAAAAATACAGAAGAGGTATGTGCATGCAGAAGTTGATTGAAGTATTATACTTATTAAATTAATTTTTAAAAGTTGATACACACCATCTATTATAAAAACTAAAATAGTTTCTAAAATCAATGTTAGAAAAGTTTTTCCCCTCCCCACTTTGTAACTAGCGGGCTCATTATTTAAAGTACCCCTTATCTCCCCAAAAGGGTTTTACCTACCAAACTTTCCTAATTGCATTAAAATGGTATTTTTTTAGGAGCTGGGGGACTCGGTAAATTAAAATGCCCGCCTGAATTGAAGTCATACTTCAATGTCAAGGCTAGGGTCTTTGTCAGTTAGTTTTAATATTAAAAGCTATAAAACTGAATAATAATAAATTAATCAACAGCAATTCAAGTCTATACTTATTTTAATTTTTAAAGTACCCAATTAAAGAAATATGTTTTCACACTCTCTCCCTCTACCCTCCAGAATACAAACATACATCACATTTCCTTAACACCTATTTTTTGCTTTCTATCTAAGCAACTTGGGCTTAAAGGAAATCTTAAGTTCCCAGAATGAGGAGGCAGCAATGAATATATGAGAAATTATCAAAGGCAGTAGGAGCAGTAATAAAATGCAGAAAATTACAGGCAGCAAATATTTGTTATTTCTTCAGTCCGTTTCTACTGAGTTTAAAATTTCATTCAGAAATGTATTGCTTCCAATTACTTTTAACCAATCATTTATACCTTTACAATGTTAAATTTTTCCATTCAATTTCTTCATCAAACTAGCAAGATTGTGAAAGCTTCCCCCACCTGGTTTATTTTAAAAGGCATTTCACTTGTGTTCGTTTTGTCGAACTGTTCCTTCCACTTTCCTTTGAAGTAGATGGCGTTGACAAGAACCAGCCTGGTCTGTGCATCAATTGAGTTACCTGGCAACAACTCTTGAATTTTACCTTTCAGGAAAAGTAGAGAATACATTCAGTTGATTTTTATAAAAGCGTGATGAATACACCATGATAAGGCTTATTGGCAGATCCTTGATTATTAGTAGAGAATTAAACATTCTTTTTTCAAATTTGCTGAGTTTGGATTGTTACATACAGAAATCAAAGACAACACACGCAAGTGGTATTCATGATCACCAACTCTTCGGGAACATCCACAAAGTTGGTGACAGCAAAAGACTTCTAAATCACTCAGGGAAGACCCTGTGCCAGATTGGGGAAGAGGCAAGCAGGAAATGAGAGGGGCTGGAGGGGCCTCGGTGACCCCATGTGGTTAAATGGAGTCTATGAGCCTATGCCCCAAAGTTACATCCACTGCCACACTCCACAGCCACGTGTGGACACTTCAGAGGCAGCCAGAAAGAAAGGCTCAAAGGGGAAATAGCTGGCAATGGGCAGCGTGGGCACACTGAGGAGTTTCTGGAAGCCTCTAGAATAGATTTCACTATTTGATCCTCTAAACAAAACACCATACATTCCTATAAAAGGTAAATTGGGCAAATTAAAGATAGTCCCTGCTTCCCCTAAGTATCAAGTTGTATCTTTTTAATGAACTAACAGCATCCCTGCTAATTCACTGCCTCCAGATGGCATGGGTGGTGAATATTCCACTGGGGGAAATAACTTCTAAGTCTTTAAGGAAAGACAACCTCTTGTTCTTTACTGTGTCGTTTAGTAACAGAAACAGGAATGCTCCTAGTGGTACTAAGTGTAGTTGGTGCAGAGGGGCTGAATGGTTCAAACATCATACCATCATTGATTGTGGGGGCCAAGATCAGAACGTGCACTTTCTGAAATAGAAATGACTAAGGCTCAACCCCAAACATAGGGCGATTTTGGTCTGCAGAGCTGATCAGCCCTGGGAGAGGGTTTGCAGTCGGCCTACCAAGTCTAGGTTACCATGTCTAATTACGGGAGTGTAAGTGGAAGACACAAAAGAGGCACGAGAACAAGTAAGCTTAATGTGTAGAGGAAAGGCAGTGGTGATGGGGGTCACACAGACTCTAGAAAGAGGAGGTCCGAGTGTATGACTCAAGGAAGATCTGACCATCAGTCTCCTTCCTACGGAAACAATGCATTCACCCAACATGTGAAGGTTACAGGCCAAGTGAAAGTATGTTTCAGTGTAATTTATTAAACTGGAAATCTGGCCTATGAGCTCCTTTTCACATTTGTATCAGTTACTCTCGTCCTGGGAGAATGGACAAAATTAAGTCTCTGTCGTTGAAAACCCAAGCATCTCAATGGAACCTCTATGAGTCCGTCAAGGTTCAAATACGCCATGAGGCCCAGCCTGTCAACATGACTCCGACCATCTGAAACACTAGTGAAATCAGAGGAGCAGGAAGAGGAGAGAGAGGGGAAGGGAAGTCACACATAATTCTGACCTTCAGTCTTTTTTGAGACCCAAGTGTTTATATGTTTCCTGGACTGCTCTGCAGCTTTGGCAAAGGAAAGCTGCTCCAGCTCAGCATGGTAGAATCGAACACAGGATTCCTTAAAGGTCTTTGGAGAGAAAAGTGTTCAATGAGGCTATATTCCTAAATAAAATGTCAGTAAGTTTCCAAAAATTCTGAATAGCACCTACTTTTTATTTAAAAAAGCATACATCTCTCAAAAGTGATTATACTGTAGTCTACTAGACACTAAAATATCAGAATTTATAAATAGGTAAGCATTAAGCCATGAATATCCAGAAATGGATAAATGAATTTTAGAAGTAGTCAAATTTCAAATAATTCAAGGTATAGTTATAGCATTATGATTTTTTAAAGCAGTGTTCAGCATAAGTTTCAGTTCTCCAGGGTCTTTTCCTCAGATTCTATATTTTGAATACAACTTTTATTGTTCTGTTGAATCAACTTACTGGGAAGAATTCACAAGACTTTTCTCCAAAGAGCCTGTTGGCCGTTCTGAGCAAGTACTGAGTACCAGGTTTGTTCACTTCGGTGAGAAGGGACTGGAAACCCTGATGAATGTCTTTCTCTGTGTTTAAAGAAAGCACCTGTTGAGAAAAAGAATTAAAAAATTATTGGGCCAGCCCCAGTGGCCTAGTGGTTAAGTTCAGCATGCTCTGCTTCGCTGGCCCGGGTTCAGTTCCGATGCAGACCTACACCACTCTGTTAGCGGCCATGCTGTGCTGTTGGCCCACATACTAAAAAACAGAGAAAGATTGGCACAGATCTTAGCTCAGGGCAAATCTTCTCAGCAAAAAAAAAATTTATCAATACTGCTTCTTGGTCTCAAAACAAATTGTAAGCAAAATTTTTTCTCAAATACTCTACAAAATTTTCCTTTAAAAGGACATTATTTTTATTTTGATTGTGGATTTAATACATACCACATGGGAAGCAATACCATGTGGGGGTGAGGGGAAGATACAGAAAGTAAAAGACAGAGAGAGGGAAAGAGCAAGCGAATAGCAAAGAAAAGAGTTGGCTTTTCTGCCTAAACAGATCTCTTGTTTAAAGATGAGTAATAAGAAGGAATGAAAAGGACCTGCATCCCAGGAAAGCAGGTCCTAAATACAGGACAACTTAGCTCTAAAATTTATGAAGAAAAAAAAAAGAAGCAGTTGAAAGCATTACAAATTCAAGGAGAAATGGGCAGAAGAACCCTTAAGAGTGGGCAAGACATCACTCTCAGTCTCTGACAGCTTAAACAGAACCCAAGAGCTAGTTCTTTGATATTTGTTAAACTAAACTAACTACTACGTACACAGTCTGCACATGTAAGTAAGTACATGCCTTTTCACCCTCTGCTGCATACTTCTGTCTACCTCCTTACTGAGCCAGGAAGGCATGTTAGTGTATCAAGGACTTGACATAGATATTAGTTTGTCCTTCCTTACCAATGAATAATTATAGTTACAAAATCTTTTACTCAAAAAAAATGAGATAGATCTTAGCTGCTTACGTTTCCAAATAATTTCAGTATCATTTTCTAAACAAAGATCAAGAGCTCGGAGAAAATTTTGATCATCTTATCCACGTTATCATTTGGAGAAAGTTTTCCCAAAAAGTCCCGGTGAAGGAGACTCCCTGCCCTGCCCTTTGCATCTTGTTCCCCAGGCAGTCTCACTTCCCTGAAATGAACATGTTCGTGTGAACACACCAGGCTCCAACCCCCCATCCTCCTTGGAGGTAGCTTTGGAGCAGAAGACATGAAGCTGGGGGACAGAACATAACCACAGTGCCAGTCCCTTCTCCTGGGCGACAGGCAGCCTTACCTGGGCCATCTGGGCCGCAGTGTTTCCTTTTGCCCCCAGGAAGACCATGGCCAGGGCAGAGGAGATGCTCACAGGAGAATAAAACACATTGTGTGAAGGGTTGTCTTGACCTAGTATCTTTAAAAGGCAGAACGCAAAGCTGCCATTTGCTTCCGAAAGAACATCCATGATGCAGAGTCTGGAATGAGAAAATAAAGAGAAAGGTGTCTTCAATACATCCCTGGATGTCATTGACCTAGTACACGGCAATTTTGGAATTGTACTTTTTTTTTTAATCTTAAAGTCCATAATATTTTAAGTTGAAGGAAAATTCACTTACTGTTGCTCTCCATCCAAAAAGATAAGTCCAAATTTAAAGGTAATTAGCTAAGTGTGATAGTGGCAACAGATCAAACCAGCTTGAGAGTCTCGAGCCAAGAGAACTGGCTGGCATGCACAGACACACACACACACACACACACACACGCATGCACACGCACAGGCACACACAGGCATGTGCACGCACATGTAGCACACAGCCTCCTGGGAGCGGTGAGGTCTAATCCTCTCCCATAGGGACCAACTCCTCTCATCTGAGGCAGAGAACAGGGTCAAGGAGGAGGAGAAGGAGGAGGGAGGAGGAGGAACCCCCAAGCGAAAACCCTCTAGCTCCTCTAGCCTGGGCTCCATAAAACAATGCTGATTCTTGCATATATTAATCAAGAGTCCTTGTGAGATTTTCACTTACGCACCCGACCATGGTCTCCCCATGTGTCAGCTGATACACGAAAAAAGTAGGAATGCTGAACTGGACCCACAGACAGGCTGAAAGTGGGTATAAAATTGGCTATGAAGCAAGGAACTTCCATCTACAGTGGCTGGTCAGTCAGGCCCTGGCCCACTGAGGGAGAGCCAGCCTGCTCTCCCACTGAGCAGCCCTCACCCCCAAGATGGCCGACGACTCCTGTCGACGAAAATAATCCATAACCAATCTATAAATGAAAATTTGGGTGAGTTTATTCTGAGCTGAAATCTGAGGACCATGGCCCGGGGCCTTTCTTCCCGAAGGAAGAAAGGGCACCGACGAAGTGGGGCACACAGAGTGGTTATATACCCCCATACAGGACGTTTCACATATGATTGAAATGTCCCTCCCACAATAGTCACAAGATTGCCCTGTCGACACAGCACTTGATGGACACAGCAGGTAGTGGGTCTGCTATCTTGGTGGGCGTAGCAGGAGGCAAGTCTATTGTCTCGAGCTGGGTGGTCACAGGTGAGCGCAGCAATCAGTTTCTAGCCTAAGGAAAGATGCTTAACCCTTAAGGAAATGCCAATGTTGGGAGGGGGAGGGAAGTTGCACCTTTATCTCAAGGGCCTTTGCTCTTGCCCTAGGGAATATCTAAAGCAGATATACAATGCATGATCAACAGCCAGGGTCAGGCCCTTTTGGAAAGACAGCGTCAGGCCGAATTAGGTTTATACCAAATGGCTTCCTCATATTCTCCAATATATCCTATTGCTTGCCATTTTTATTTGTCACTCCTGACATCCCATAAGCCAACTGAGAGTGCCGGCACATCGCCAACCCCTAGACACGGTGTGATTTCTGAACATTGGAAACGGGGCTGAGACAACTGTGTGTTGTTTCCATTTGGTTTTTCAATTTTCTTGCTAACTCAGAAACACAGATTTGGGAGCTTCACTCACTAGTCTCAGCCAAAGTCACTAGAGTAGAGTGTGCGTGCAAGGGAGAAAAGCAGCGCCTGTGGAACACCAGAGTGGAAAGGCCAGGAGGAACAGAGAAGAGTCCAAAAAACCGGTCCCTGGTGATGAGTAAAAACCACTGAGAAGGCGGAGGCATATCTGTGAAGCCAGGGAGGTGAGAAGTGTCAATGGTTGCGGGCAGGTCTGCAGACCACACATCTCGAACTGAGCCCATCACCAACCTCACCCCCAGCCCACTGTTCTCCAGCATTTCTCGGAAAAGAGACCCTGGCTCACGCAACTGCTTGCCTCAGACCCGAGGAAATCTCCCTGACTCCTTCCCCGCTCCCCTCCAGCCCTCAGCCCCCTCACCGAGGCCTGTCTCCTGCCCCTAAGTAGCTCTTGCACCAGTCCACTTGATCCTGCACCTGGTCTGGACACCCTTCTCCCTCTCACCCCAGCCTCCCTGCTGCCCTCTGAAAGGCTCAAACGATGAACAGAACTGGCTGCTCCACTCCCCCTCCTGACTCCCCACTCCGCGCCCCCACACACATGCCATTCTGAGAGGAAAACAGATCCTGATCCTTTCACCCTCCTCTTAGACCTCCCATGGCCCTTAGGATGAGCTCAAAGCTCACTCTATTTAAATGGCTTACCCTCCACCCGGCCTCCTCCTCCTGCTCCAGCCTCCACCTCTAGCCATCCTGAACCCCATTCAGTCCCTCAAAGTCACCTTTGAAAACACCGTGTATCCGAGTCCCCGTCCCCTTCACCGGGTTCATGCACTCCCCCCACCCTCACACCAGCAGCCTCAGGAGGCTTCTGATTGCCCACCCTACAGAGGTTCCTCTCACGCCTTGCACCCTCGCCCAGCGTAACTCACCCCTCTGTATTGTGAGTCCTCAGGAAGCTCCGCTGGAAGCGCTGAAGACAAGGGCTGATTCCAAGGGCCTGGAAGAGCGCACAGGAAACGGAAAGGCTCCATAAATTTGTGTTGAAGTAATAAAAGAATTAGGACGGATAAAAGTGCTAGGATTCGCAGCTAGTGACTGGTGATTTCAGGACAGAGAAGCGGTAGGGCAGAAATTATGCTGATCCCTGAGGAGAGAGGGGAGGGAAGAAACGCGGCCGCCAGCGGGAATGGGGCTGCAGGGTGAGAGCCCAGGCAAGAGGAAGGGCGGCGATGCGGCAGGGAAGGGGCGTCGGAGGAGCAGAGAGCAGGCCGTGGAGGAGGCCAGGCGTCTGTGACTCGTTCGGGAATCGCAGGGCGCAGGCTCTGGCCACTGACCAGCTGCGGCCCAGAGAGCCTCTACTGCTGTAAACAGGGAGGCGGCGCCGCCTTCTCGGGCCCGCGTTGGTACTGAGACAGCTCTCTCGCCCTCGCGTCGGTAAGCTGGGGCTTCTCCTCGTCCCTCCAATCCCCCTCCCCGGCCAGGATGCCCCCACCTGCCACCTGCAGCACGCCGCGCTCCTCCTGTCGCCTGGATCTCCTCCGAGCCTGGATCCCAAAGATATGAAGCGCAGACCTGGTCTCGGTCCCCCTCAGCCCGGGGAACTTCCGTAGCGGGGCGGGGGGGGGCGGGCTCAGGGCCCCCGCGCGGCCCGCGCCCTCCCCGGCCCGCCTCGCCTGTGGGACCCGCCTCGCCTGTGGGACACGCAGTGACGCGCGGGACCCCGCCCGAGACACGGGATAGCCTGGAGGCGCGCTCTTCTTGCCCCTACCAAGGCGAATCCAAACTGAATTCCTGAAGGGAAAGAATTTTCTAAGTGATAGCCCTGCCCGGATGGAAACTCGCGGTGCCTCTGGCGCAACCGCTCCTCTGGCTGTCAGAAGAAATAACACCCGGGGCACCTGTGATGAGGATTTTTAGGCTGCTTAATTTTAAAATGGCTTATGATGAGGATTTTTAGGCTGGTTAGTTTTAAAACTACAGATGAGATTCAGGCTCCAAGGAGTGGAATTTGTTTGCCCCTTTGTTGGGAAACATTTACATTTCTAAGGGAACCCTCTATCTGTGAAGATGCCTCCCTCTCTGTGCCAGGAAGAAGGGGGTATGGTCTTATCTCTAGAAGCTCTTAATCAATGCCAGAGGCAAGAACTTAAGTTGGTTACTGTCTGGCAACCTCATGTAACTGACCCCCCCCCCCCACACACACACACAAATCCTCCTTTGTCTTTAGCCGAGGATAAAATTCAAGCGGTGACTTCTGCTATTTACTCAATCCAGTTTGATTCTTATCTAAAAGTTGTGGGACCGCCAAATGGCCAGACCAGCCAAATGGCCAGACCATAAGGGCACTGATACCATTTTAACTTTTTTACATATTCTTTGTCTTGTAAAGAGATAACTCACATACCTATGCCTTAAATTTAGCCTTACTCTCCACCCAACTTTGCAGCAGCAGCAGCAGCAGGAGCTCTGACTGCCCGTGGGTCCTGTCCCCACGCACCAGCTCTGCCTGCCCATGGGTCCTGTCCCCATGCTACACTATTCTCTAAATAAAAGAGCACTACTGCCAGATCTTGAGAGTCTAAGAAATCTTTCTTTCGACTCCTCGGCTCACCGACCCCGCATCACCTGGGGAGGACGTAAGGTAAATAAAGGTGGTGTGACAGACTCCTGGTTTAGAGTCAGGAGGTCCTGTGGATCTTTATTCCATGCCTCTTGTCTTACGAGTATGAGAGCTTCAGCTAGAATGAAGTATTTGTTCGAGGTCCGGTAACTAATTAGCTGTCCTCAGCCCAGATCCAGAAGCCAGGGGCCCAGCTCATATAGTGCCTGAGCCCTTTTCCCCTACTGGGGCTTGTGCTGCGAGGCTGCTGTGTTCGCAGCTTCATCAGTAGCCTGCAAAGTGACAGAACAGATCATAGTGAGACTGGCTCAGGGCCTGGGAGTTCAGCAGCGGGGCCTGCTTCTGGGCTGTTTGATTGACTAGTTCAGGATGTCCTCGGAGATCCATGCTCCTTCTCATTGTGTCAGCTCCGTCTTCAGGCTGGTGACCAGAGGCCCCCATTGGAAGAGCTCCATGTTGACAAGATGATGTCCAAAGGAAGAGGAAAGACCAAATGACTTTCTCAGAGAGCAAGATTTTTCCAGAAGCCTTGCCCCTCAGCAGATTTCTCTTACTGTTTCAAATGAACCTGAACTAGTGCGTTCTCCTGAGGGCCTAAATAAGAGTAAGCCAGGTGAATAGGGCACAAAATGTAAGGAGGCACGCACTCTCAGGTGACAAGCCCTGCACCTACGTGACCCTGAGAATCAGTGCCTGCTTATATTTAGCACCCTAGGTGCCTCTCTCTCTCTTTTTTTAAACAACAGCTTTATTGAGATATAACTAACACACAATAATATTCACCTTCTTAAAGCATCCAATTCAGTGGTTTTTAGTCTATTCACAAAGTTGTACCACTACCATAGTATCTAACTCTAGAACGTTTTCGTCACCTCAAAAAGAAACACCATACCCATTAGTAACTATTCTCCAGCCCCTCCTTCCCCCAGCCCCTGGCAACCACTGATCCATTTTCTGTCTCCAGGGGTTCGCCTGTTACAGGCATTTCATGCAGATGGAATCATACAAGAAGTTATATATGTTATGTAGACTTTTGTGACTGCCTTCTCCCACTTGGCATAATGTTTTCAAGGTTCGTCCGTGATGGTTCAGGGTAACATTTATCAGTACTTCATTTCTTTTTATGGCTCAAAGATATTTACAATAATATTGGGTATATAAATCCATTTTGTTTATTCATTCATCAATTGACAGACATTTGGATCGTTTCCCTCTTTTGTCTATTATGAATAATGTTGCTGTGAACATTCGGGTACAAGTTTTTGCCTAGACTTATATTTTCATTTCTCTTGGGTATATTTCATTGGTTTTATGGCTTTGGTTTTCTTGGGTCGGGGACCTTGACAAGATGCATTGGGTCGGCTATGTTTAAAGCTCGCATCAAGTATATTTTATAATTTTATATCTTTGAGCAATATGCTGTTATTAGGCTGACGGAGGCCAAATTCAAGCTATTGATCCCTACCATCATCACATTCAAAAAGGAGCATGCAAAAGTGTTGAAAGTTAGCCTTGACATCTGGTAATACTTTTTTCTTGTGTTCGGAATTGTAGAGCCATGAATTTTAAGGCAACATATAGGCATAGTTGTCACCAACACTGCAAGAAGGTGTCTGCATACACACAGATCAGATAGCATGACATAAACGTGCTGGCTGCCTCTGTGCTCCACTGCTCAGAGGAAACTTCTCTCCAAGCAGGTGATAGCACAAGGAGAGAAGATGGATCTGACCAAGGATGAAAACAGAACTCTCAGTTAGAAAATTGTTTCTCCACCTCCCCCCAATAAAAGATACACGGGAGACATAAAGCAATAGATTAAGTGAAAGGCTTTGAAATAAGTTATTTATCTTTCCAGTCTTTTTACTTTAAGAAAGTAGTGGTATCTCTGAAAAATGTTTCCCTTTCTGGTTGATTTTTAAGGGTCTTTCCAGAAAAAAGCTAAACAGGGTCCCAAAGAGGAAGCGTTTTTCAGGGATTTTCCAGCACTGTCCAGAAGGGAGCACATTAAACTATTTCTCAAACATCACTGTTTCATGATCTGACAGGCCCAAGAGAAATAAGAGAAGTGCACTGCTGGCCTGCAGACCTGGCAAGCACACACCAACAGGTCTCCGATGGCTGCCTCATAGCGCCAGCCCCGCGGAGACCCCTCCCTAGCCAAGCTCAGTCCCTCTTCCTTCCCAACTCTAAGTCTACCGAACCTAACTTCTCACACTATCAGTCTTTTCTGTGACCCCACCATTTATGTGTTTCTGAATTCTTCTGTATCCCTAGCAAAGGCCAGCTCCTGCAGTTCTGCCTTAAAGGCTGACAAAGAGCAAATGCTGAGTTTGGCCCTATTCTGCAAAAGTTTCTACAATTTTGAAAACGTTTTTTCCCCTTTTAACATGTTTTTACCATAAATGCTTACACAAGTCATGTTGCATTTTAAGACTCATTAACTCAATTAACGAAAAGTAGTGACCACCTACCGTGTGCCTGGCACTGTGCTGGGTGCTTGACACCAAGTTGAAGACGGTATCTCACGTGAGGTGACTCACAGTCTGATGAGAGAGACTGAAAGTGCACAGAGGAATTTTCCAAGTGTTAATGAGAGAACAGATGGTGGAAGCCATGCCCCAAACACCCCAAGAATGTCCCTGTTTCACACTTGAACTCTGTATGGGCTTTCTTTTGAGTCTCGTCTCCTCCACTAGACCATAAGCTTCAGGACAGCCTAACTCTCCTTTACTCATTATCGAATCAGTGACATCAACCACAGTATCTGAAACACATTTGTTGAATGACTGAGAGGCTTCATATGGGATGCGATTATCAAGAAATATCAAAGCTCTCCAACTGGACAAAGGGAAACAGTATTTTAGATCTGGATCATCATGGTAACTTAAGGAACCAGGACAAGGAAAATCCTCTGGGAATGGACTGGGATAGGTCTGGAGGGGTGTGTGTGTGTCAGAGAGGAGAGGGGAAGGGAGGGGGTTAGGAAGAAGACAGTGGCAGGGAAGGAGCCCTTGAATCGTAAGTTGGAGCCAAATCAGGCAGGACCTGTACCCAATACACTGAAACCCAGAGATAACTCCCCCACGTTACTTGGTTTCAGATATAAAGTGCTTCACCATTAGCTCCCATGCTCCGCTCACCTCCTGTTCTCAAATATTTTAGCTTCTATGGATGAAAGAGGAAGTAGAGGGGAGGAGGAGCCAATCAATCAAGAAAGGTGGCAGGTGGTTCCCTGTCCCCAGTATTCTCCAGTATTGAAAGATCAGGCTGGTGTTCAAAAATGAACATCAATTAACCATAAGATTGCTGGAATCACCAGTGCTTATCCTGGAAGACCCAGGCAGCCAAAGGACCCAGAATCATCCCGAATGAGATTAAGCCCAGAGCAGGCAGTCTCCATGGGATGGCACTCACAGCAGTAATGATGAGGATGCAGTTGAGTCTCACAGAAGAAGGCTTGGTACTGCCAACCAGGCAGATGGCCGGGATCACTTCGTCAGTTCATTAATCTCACGGTAACATCACCCTGCCTGTTATATGGTAGAATTTGTTTGGACTTCACTTATTGCATTACAGATGGGTTTTTCCAGACTAAGGAATTTTGTAGAAGCTATCCAGATTTAAGCCTCAGTTTCACAAACAGATTTTTATTGGAAGGACTATTCTGTTAGTAGTGTGGATTTATGAGAGAGAGGACAGGACCACACTGGACGTGGAGAAACCAGTTAACAAGCCATTAAAATAATAGTGTAGAAGATACGGTGAGACTCTGAACCCAGGCAATAACAGGGACTAAGAAAAGGGAGCAAATTTAAGAGATCTTGAGGGAGAACCCGCCCAACAACCACAGGTGAGATTGGGGAGGACCCAGGACCCAGGAGGCTGAGTTTCTGCCTTCTACAGGACGCTGGGGGACTGGAAGTCAAGGGGGAGAAGCAGGTTTGGGTACAGGAGGATGGACACACTGGGAGTGACACCAGGGAAAGATGTATCAGAAATAATAAAAAAAAGAAAGACATAATT